GCAGTTTCTCTTGAGTTACAGCCAGAAAGGGCAGCTGGTCTTACCGTTTCTACTTCTCTCTCTCTTTTCTCCTCCAAAGCATATCACATATGTGCAATTTCCAAACATACAAGACACATGCAACTCAGCATATAAAACATGCCATGCAGGGGACCCCACAGGAACCTGCTTCAAGACAGTGTATATCTTGGTTTCATCGTCACAACCCCTGGGCCTGACATGGTGCATGGCCCATAGAGAAGGCTCAGTAACGTGTGCAGAAAGTTTAAGTTCCCAGGAATATACCACTCTAGGTCCTCCTTCCATAAGAATTATTATGAGGTACAAAATTCCACAGTAGACTTAAATACTGGCTATCCCAAAAAACTTTAGATCGTTAGCTACAACCATCCAGGAATAATAAGTGAGATAAATATTATTCCTCCATGTTGTACAGTTAAGACCTCTTCCCAGCAGCCGGCTCACGGCTTTGGACAGCACTTGCCTACACTGTAACTAAACCTATCTCTACCTCTCAGCAGACACATCCTTAAAGGAAAGCAGCGGATTCCTGGGCCTTAAAAAAAAAATGCTGACAGGGGACTGTGTATGCAAATCAGGATAAATAAAGAGTTCTAAAAGCAGATCTGGGAAAGTCCTGGATTCTCCACATGCTTTGGTTTCTCCTGGGGCTGTAGGACTCCCATGTAGCCACACAGAGCAGAGCTCCTGAGGTGGCTTCATGAGGGCACACTTCTCGAGACACTGGACAATTAACCCACCTTATGGTTTGCAATATCATTTTTTAAAATGCTATCTTGACACAGCTTTTTAAAAACAGGGTCTTGCTCTGTTAATCAGGTTTCAGTGCAGTGGTGCAATCATAGCTCACTATAACTGCAAATTCCTAGGCTCAAGTGATCCTCCAGCCTCAGCCTCCAAGTAGCTGAGATGACAGGCATGTGCCACGGTGTCCAGCTTAACCCAGTTTTGAGGCCCTGGCTAGAGACCAGCCAGTTCGCCTTCTCCAGCAGCACATTAAGTCTACACCCAACCTTTTCTCACATTGGGGTATCACACCTGGACCACTATACACAGGCCCTCGCCACTCCAGGGCCACCCTGAGCCTCGGGGCCAATCCTCAGCCGACCTGCCTGTCCCTTGGAAGCCACAGTGCAGATGTTTGCCCACAGTCCGCCTCTCCCTCCACCTCATGGCCGACTTCTGTGCTTCCTGAGTGGCCCTGCATGGGTGCCATGTCTTCTCCTCAGGGAACTGTGAATAAAGTAACTGCAAAACTTTTCCCAGCCTCTTCTCGTGATCTGCATCTGTCCTTACCAGTCCTCACCCAAGACAACATGGTTAAAATATGGGTATACAAATAAAGAGGCAATTCAAAGGTTGTTCTTGATTGCGAATGTCAAGTGGCTGCCAGCAGTTATCATAACCTTAAAAAAAAACCTACATGAGAAATTGTTCAAAGTCACAAAGGAGTGACTCCATGTATGAGCTAGGGAAAAATCACAGCTTCCCTGTAGGAAAATGCAAATGTCACATTGCAAGAAATGTGTCATTTCCATCCCTCAGAAGTTACTTTTCCGGTATGGGCTTTGGTCAGATACATCAAAATGTGGTGACAATTGGGCACAGTGCCTTGGTGACCAAGTCTTCCGAGACGTAGGCATGCAAAGGCACCTCTGTTCTGTGGAAAGAAGGATGTCTTGCAGTAGCCTGGGTGGAGTGCTCATCATTCAGATAAGCATGGGGAGCCTTCTGGTCGCCAGTAAAGGGACACTACTGGAAAGGAAAATATGAAGGCAAGGCTTTGGTGGCGGCAATGGAAATACAGGGTCTCCTCACAGTTTTGGAGGAGCTGTCTGCAGCTAGGGCCTTACCTTCCTGACATTTCATAGGACAGGCAGAAAAGCTGGAAAACAGCAACAGGTGGTTGACGAGGCTCTCCCCGGGTCACAAGTGGGTGTTCTGAGACTTAAACATTCGGGAATTGCCTCTGGCACCTTTCTGATTCAGGTCAGAACACCGCAAAATAAACGGCTGTGGCCAGGCGTGGTGGCTCACTCCTGTAATCCCAGCACTTTGTGAGGCTGAGGTGGGTGGATCACAAGGTCAGGAAATCAAGACCATCCTGGCTAACACAGTGAAACCCCATCTCTACTAAAAATACAAAAAAATTAGCCAGGCATGGTGGCGGGCACCTGTAGTCCCAGCTACTCAGGAGGCTGAGGCAGGAGAATGGCGTGAACCTGGGAGGTGGAGCTTGTAGTGAGCCGAGATGGCACCACTGCACTCCAACCTGGGTGACAGAGCGAGACTCCATCTCAAAAATAAATAAATAAATAAATAAATAAATAAAACAAACGGCTGCAAGCTTCATGGTAAATATTCACTAACGTAGAGGATGTGGATGAAGTTCCCTGTATCAACACCATCTTTCATTGCCAGCAAGTACAAATCACACCCCTCACCACCAGGACCTGTGTTTAACCTGCCCATGCACAAGGATACCCTCAACAGCCTGCAGGCCGCTGGTGGGAGGGGCCTCACTGTTGCTCACCAGAAAAGGCTTTCTCAGCTGTGCTGAGTTTTCTTTCCCAACTCCCTCTCTGTGGCTGGGACTTATAACCTCAACCCCACATCTTTCTCTCTGTTGCCTACCCTGTGCAGTCTAGGAAGACACTCATTTTGCCAGCTTCCCCTGCAACTACAGGGGGTCATGTAATCCAGTTCTAATACATGTGAGGTCTAAAGAATGGGTGAGTTCTGACCACAGAGGGCAGAGCCGGCCCCCTCGCCTGGGCTTGGATGTAAACTCTCATACTGATGATCACGCGATAGAAACACACAAATATGCTCCTAGGTAAGGGTCAGGAGAATGGGGATAAACATGAAGATGGTTGTAACATTAGCTCTCTAGAGGTGTGTTTGTGTGTTGAGGATGACTTATTTTTTGGTAAAGTTAAAATGATGTACACTTTAAACATGAACAAAAAATATATTGTCGGTTGTGGACCCACTATTCAGAATTTGGTAATTACATGTGGTTCAACATATGGGCATCCATATTATAGCTGGAAAATAAACTAGAGGAAGCTCTCCCACCCTTATCTCTGCACCTTCCTCCTGTCTAGGTATTAGACCAAAGTGAAGAGACACACAAGGGTGAGAATCCAGGCCTGCACTCATCTGTTTAGACACACAGACAGCTGCGTTTGGATGCAACATGGCACAACAGCTTTGATATAAATGTTTATATTATTAAGAATAGAGGCCAGGCACAGTGGCTCACTCCTGTAATCCCACCACTTTGGGAGGCCGAAGCAGGCAGATCATGAGGTCAGGAGATCGAGACCATCCTGGCTAACATGGCGAAACCCCATCTCTACTAAAAATACAAAAAATTTAGCCGGGCGTAAACTAGCCGGGCGTGCTGGTGGGCGCCTGTAGTCTCAGCTACTCTGGAGGCTGAGGCAGGAGAATCGCATGAACCCGGGAGGCAGAGCTTGCAGTGAGCTGAGATCGCGCCACTGTACTCCAGCCTGGGTGACAGAGCAAGACTCCGTCTAAAAAAAAAAAAAAATCAGCAATAAAGCATATCTACTGACAACTTCGAGGATCTACTACAAGCCCAGGAAAAGACTAAAGGTGAACAAAGAGAGCCAACTCCACAGCCCCACAAACACTGCGGCACACATACCATGGGTCAGCCAAGTGAGAGGCTCAGGAACTCTCACACACATTTGCCATTTATCAAAATGAACAAAAACAACACTGACTTGAAAAGACAACCTTATTATTATTATTATTTTTAAATGAGCCCTACGTTCTCTCTGTTGCTTTTCATTGCAGTGGCTCTACAGAAGAGGGGAAAGAGGGAAGGACTGAGAGCTCTGATTGGCTGAAAAATGCCACTGACCATAAGGAAGCATTCTCAGGGCAAAACAAAACAGCTGAGATGACTGTATCAGTTTGCTTGTCTCACTCAACTTCAAACACGGACATCTGATATCAAATCACACTTTTCATGTATGATTTTCATTTTTCCTTTACCCAAGAAGAAAAGAAAGGAAGGTTTGGCAGCTTTATTTTCTCCTATGAGCGCTGAACATGCAGTCTGTGGGGTCACAGGCATAGATATAGAGGGGATGGCAGAACCCGGACCAGCCTGATATGCCTCAGTGCCTGGGCACAGCTGCTGCCTGGTGCACTATGGGTATTGCCTTTATTAGGTAAAAAGCTTGACTTTGAGTCTCAATTTTTTTTCAACTGGAAAATGTAGAGAATATTGAGCTATATAAAATTCTTTTGTAGGTCAAAACTGTTGATAGCAGCAGTTTCATACAGTTCAACCTAATCATTCCTTCCCTGCCTATGAACAGGTGTTTTTTCTTTTTGTTTTTTTTTTTACAGGATCAAATGAAATTATTTACATGAAGGTGCACCAAAAAAAACCTATGACTATAAAAACACCATTAACTTTATAAACTGGAACAGGAATTAGCGCTTCAAACTCTATTCGCATCGCTTTATAAATGAAATCAGAATCGCTCTTTAAAAGGCAAATCCCGGACCCACTCAAAACTATCGAATCAGAAACAGGAAGACAAGGTGAGAAATATGCACTTTGACAAGAGCCCCAGGTGATAACTCAAATTGGGAGAAAATTTTTTTTTCCAAGAAATAAATTGCCCCCTTTGGTTTGGGGTGGCTTTCTGCTGAGATGCAGGCTTTACCCAAGCCCATTTAGTATGTCTCCTTCCTCGACAAATAAGAGACATTATAAAGAACCCAGTGAGTGGTGCAGTTTTCCTAATAAGCTGGCAAAATAACTCCAGGCGAAAGTCAGTAAAAATTAGCACAGTCAGTAATTACTAGGAACTGATAAAACCTGATGCAGATGTTTTTTCCCATAGGGTGTAAAGCTCTCAGTAGTTAAGTCCTGAAGGGGAACCCAGATCCCCCCTGCAGCTGGGGCAGCTGCTGCATGCCCAGTCATGACTTACCCCTTAAGATGTAGTTCTGATAGTTCTGATCAGCCTCAGCTCCCACCTTGATCAGACATGTCAGACCTTCAGCCACTACAAATTCATGTACCAAATCCTTGTCATCCTGGCAGGAAAGAAAAAAAAAAAAAAAACTTCAAATACTGTCCCTGTCCACGTTCCATCCCAGCTGTGCTGCTAAAAGTATGTACAAGCCTTTAAAGCCAGAATGGCCCCTACAGATTGCTCTACTCTATTCAAATGAAGCATCTCAACTCTTGCCAAAAGAATTTTACAACCAGTCCCCTCATTGTCCTTTGCCAAAGACCAGTTATTGCCTTCTGGGCAATCTAATAAAGATAAGGCAAATGAATCTCCTCACTGCCAGAAATATGGTGTCTTGTTTTTCATTCTTCAAGAAACACCGGGCTGTACTCTTCCATGGGTCCCAAGGGTTTGGCCATGCGAAGCTTGCTGATTTTTAACTACAGGAAACATTTGATTGCAGCAAAGACTATCAGGTGAGGAACTCAAAGCCACTCCTGTGTTCCAAAGACAGTCCTTGGGACAGCAGTTACAGAAAAGGCTCTTGCAAGGGCTGAGAACCATGGAAAGCAGTTTATCCAACCTTCAGTAGTTGTAGTGCCTGCAGGACAAGCATGGAAGCAGGGTGCAGGATTGGCCATTAACCTGCAGCAACCATGCCATCCCTCGAAAGGACCGCCTTGGCCGGCTTGCAGACCTGATCACAGAAGGCAGGACATGAAAGAAACCTCATGGGTCATCTCATCCAGTGGTTCTCAGACAAAAGTCTCCAGACCTATCAGCCAACAGAGACTGGCAGCAAGCGCATCACCTGGGAACTTCTTAGGCCCCACTCCTGCCCTCCTGATTAGGAATCTCTACAGGGAGGCCCTGTTTCTCAAGCTCAGAAGCAGGTGATTCTGAAGAGCTCAGACGGTTCTCACATTAGAATCATCTGGAGAGGTTTAAGAAGGACTAGAAAGCAGGACCTTACCCAGATGGATTTAATCCAAATTTCTGGGGTGGGGCCCAGGCTCTGCTATTAAATTCCCTAGGAAATCCTCAAGGGTTGCCTATTCAAGAACCACTGATTTAATGCTAGCTCTTCTTTACAGATAAAGACACTAAGACTCAGGAGAGGCAAAAAGAAAAAAAAAAAAAAATGTGGGCAAGATCACTTAACTCCATTCAGCCAGACCCAAGCCCAGTGATTTTTTTCATAGTACCAAGCTCTCTGAGAGATTTTTCCACCATTGTTTTCCTCAATCGAGACTGGGAGATTTCCTCAATTGGACAGTGCCTTGTCTCAAAGGCATCTAGGATAAAGCTGAAACATTCATCTTAAATGATCACAACAGAGCAAAAATAAAAAACCTCAGTGATGTAAATGGTAGAAAGCTTAATGGAATAATGAAAGGTTATTATTATAGGAAAAGTCAGCAACCATGGCTTATCTCCAAAAGAGAAAATGTAGATGAACTGGCATAATTCTCCTGTTCCTACATGAAATCAGCCCCTTATTTTGATTTTTATGGCATTTTTCAATTATATGGATAGGGGACCAGGTAAATGTGGGCAGGCTCAGCAAAGGTTCCCTTTGAACCATGAAAGAGCTCTTCAGGGTCAGAGCTGACTTGGGGGGAAGGGTGGGTGAGTGATGCCTGCGCCCTGAACGTAATGAAAGACAGCTGTGTTAACTCAGACTTCAAGATAATCATGGCTTTGGAAGAAAGAAAATGGGACAATATCATGAGTTTTTGGAAAATTACTTTACGCTCATATGTATGAAGGAAATAAAAAATAATTCTCTCTCCATCCATATCCTTTTCCACCAGCATATGTGAAAAGTGAACATTTAGATGAGCTCATGTCTAGTCAGAAAGTTTTTCCAAGCACGTAACAAATGTTTATTACTTTAACTAAAACTAGATTCACACATGACTTCATGGTGAAAAAGTGAGAACAAGCTCTCAAGAAACCACTCAAGCTAATCACTAATATTAATATACCAGAGAATTGACTGTCTGGCAAAGGCACTTGGAAAAAACACTGGACAGGCGAGACAGTGTTTATAAAAATCATTCAGAACTGAAATGTATGCACATATGTAGATAAGGCACTCAGGAAAGAGAAATTTATTGATAATCAACTTGGAAAAAATCTTCCAAATTGGCAATGTGCTAGATTTTACACATATATCCTAAAATATATGAGCATTAAGAAATGACTTTCAAAACACCGGTGTCAGAATAGAGTGAAATCAAAATGTTAACACTGATAGTTGCTTACTGCTGCATTTCAGAATTTTCTGTAATGTCATATATTAAACTGTGATCATTTTTTAAATGCCTATTGGTCAAGGAATATTCAACCCAAAGAGATGACCAATGCCTCTGTTTTTCAGACACTTACAATCTAGTTTGGAAAAGAACATCCACACCTAGAAAACACAAGAGATGATGGAGACGCCGACCCACGGGTATGGAAGGTGGTGATCCATGCCCAGACAGCACCGCTGCCTGTGTAATCCAGTTAATCCCCCCATGTGTTGCTGCCCTGTGGTCGAGCGCTGTTTTATGCACCCGTGTGTGGTCTTCCAAACAGACTATAAACTTCTAGTAACAAGCACCTTCTTCCTTGCCTACACGCTGCCAACGAGGCTGTTCAAAAATATTTGTTTAATGACGGTCCTGGGAATTCAGAGAACAAACACTACAGAGTAAACTTGGTTGAAAAGATCTACAAGAGTCTAAGCATGTTTATTTTTTAATGTTTTCAATTGAGAGAACTATAAACGTATACAAAAGACAACAGAATAAGCTCGTGAACTCCAGGTGCCAATCAACGCACACCAACCCTGTTTCATTGATCATCCTACCCCTTCCCCTGCCACATTAATCTGAAGTGAGTCCCATACATCACATCATTTAATCCATAAACATTCCAATATGTATCTCTAAACTACAGGAACTCTTCTTAAAAATATGTACTCACAATAAAAAATTAATACTTTTCATTATGAAATGTCTGGTCAGTGGCCACATATCCAACTGTCTCATAAATACTGTTCTTTTCTTTTCTTTTCTTTTCTTTTTTTTTGAGATGGAGTCTCACTCTGTGGCCCAGGTTGGAGTGCAGTGGCGTGGTCTCTGTTCACAGGAGCTCCGCCTCCCTGGTTCATGCCATTCTCCTGCCTCAGCCTCCCGAGTAGCTGGGACTACAGGCACTTGCCATCATGCCTGGCTAATTTCTTTTTGCATAAATACTGTTTTTCACAGTTTTATTAGGATCCAAGTAAGACTCATACACGGCAGTTAGTTGATATGACTCTTGAACATCTTTTAATTCAATGAGTTTTTTTCTTTCCCACTGGAATTTGTGTGTTGAAGAAACCGGATCATTTGTCCTGTAGAGTAGCCCACAGTTCAGATTTTGTTGGTTACACCCCTGTGGTATAGTTTAACGTGTGCCTCTATCTTGGATCATTTACAAATAGTTTATTGCATATACAGGCATGCAGATCCAGAGGTGATTTTTTTGGCTTGACCACATCATCCATGGTAGTTTGTATTTCCATTGGGAGGCACGTAATACCTGGCTGAATCTCATGCTCATCATGTCAGCAGCTCTTGGGGCTCACCACATAGATCCATTAAATCATTCATTAGGGGCTGAAGGACGGTAATATTCTCATTCTGTTACTCCCTCTTGCTTATTAGATAGAATATTTCTACAAAAAAGACTTCCCCTCAACTATTCGATCATCCTAAAATCCGTAAGTGACAAGGCAAAATAAATGTGAGATACTAAAACTTAATTCATCTGCAAAATAGTAAGCTAGTTCACTAGCATCTTTCACAGTTTTTTTTTTTGTCAATCCATTGTTATTTTGTAGTGTCATTATGAACTCATTAATACAAACTTAGTGTGTTTTGATCCAGTGCAATTATCACCCTTATTGATGCTCACTGTCCCTTCAACTTGCTTCTGAGTTCTTTCGGAAATAATCCTAGACTATTCGATAGCTTTCTTGCTTTCTGTATAAGATGTTCCAAGTTAATTAGTTTATTTTATGACATTTCCTACTCCAGACTTGGAATCAGCCACTTCTCCAAGGTGTTCTGGTTCCTTTTGGTGTTTCAGACCACAATCTCATTGCTAGTGGTGCTTTTGGCTAATGAATTATTGCTTCTAGCTTTTTTTTTTTTTAATTATTATTTGCTTAAGATAATATACATGGGTTCATTCTGATATTTCCAATTAAATTCAGGAACACAGAGTTGTTAAACTTAAGAGTCCTAATTTTTAAGAATGCGTAGAATGACAATTAGAATCTCACACACACACCAGTCTCAGAATAGTAATACCAACACCACCATCACCAATAGGATTATTGTAAACAGTTTTGTTGCGGTTGGGGATTTTTTGGTGGTTCTTTTTGTTCTTAGGGTCTATCTAACTAACACTGAACAAATTACAGTGTTTTTAAGTCATTTGGAATAGCTATTAGCTGTGTGGCTCTGCCACCAGCTCTCTATCAGGTGTGAGAGAAGTCAAAGCTGAAGAATGGAGACAAGAGGCAGGCTGATAGAGGCTGACAGACTAAATGAGGAAGGTGGAGGAGTGCTGTGAGCATGGCCCTCTGGTGGCACAGAAACAGTCTAGCCCAACTGCAGTTTGAGATCTGAGCCCAAGAAGAGGGCATAATGGAGGGTGAAGTTTTGTTGTGTTCAGCTACGTATCAGGAAGACACACGTGGATACTCTGAAGTGGAGTTCTGGGAAATTAATTAGTTAGCACAGAAATTAGAGACAGGAAAGAGTGAAGACAGAGACATCTTCTAGAAGACAATTCAAGTTACCCAGGCCATTCATTTATAGTTTAAGTGGTACCAGATACTATGCTAGGCACAAAAGGCGTGGCGATGAACCCCAGTGAGCTCACAGACTACCAGACTCAAGACAAGTGCTCTGAAGTATCTTAAGTTCTATACAGTTTGAGTATCCCTTATCCAAAATGTCTGGGACCAGCAGTGTTTCAGAGAACATTTACATGTACATAATGACATATCTTGAGGATGGAACCCAAGTCTGAACATGAGATTTAGGTTTCATACAGGTTTACATACAGCATGAAGGTAATTTTGTACAATAGTTTAAATAATTTTGTGCTTGAAACAAAGTTTGTGTGAATACTGAACCATGAGAAAGCAAAGGTGTCACTATCTTAGCCACCCACATGGGTGATCTGTGCTAGTTTGGCATCACCACCATTCCTGACTCTGAATTTATATGCTACCAATATGCAATCATTTTCTTACACTTATTCACACTTAAGAGGGAAAAAGATGACATGCCACTTATACAACGAAAAAACATAACATGTTCCGGATAACTAAGTAGTACAGTGGCATCACCAGAATGCCTGTCTCATCTGCTACAGTCTCCCCCTACAATGTTGTGTTTTGATTAAAAGGCTACTATACACTATATTTTATTTTGGGGGGTGAGAATAAACATCAAAAGTAGTTGAGGGACAAGAAGTGGGTCTTCTAGGGATGAGGAGGCATTCTTCTGGATGGGCTTTTAAAACTGTTTTCTCCACAATCATCTGCCTCATTAACAAGAGTTTTTGTCTTAGAAATATTTGCCTTTATAACCTAACATGATTTCTTCAAAACGTGTTCTGTTTTGAATGCACACTGATCTACACTTCAGTAAGCCCATCACATATTTTTGCCATGTCATCTCTAGGCACTTATTCTACAGTGTTATCTTCATCGTCATTTACACAAGACCACCTTGATTCAGAAACATTTTAGCTATTTCAATTCACCATTGGTTCACGAATGAACCACTGGGGCCTCTTCATCAACGTTAAAAACTTCAATATCCACTTCTTCCAGCTCACTGATGGACTCTGAAGATAAACATGCAAACAATTTTTGTATTTATAAAGAGGTCAGACATCACTTTCTTCTCACTTGACATACAGAATCCTTCAAAGTCACCACTTGTTCACCATCATCACTAAACACAGTCACAGGTTAGAGGTTGTGCCAGGCATGCACAGCTGTGTCTTTAGTCACTATGTTTCCAGTGTTGGCAGCAGTATATCCTTCATGCTAAACATCCTTCATGCTAAACTGCTTTTGAAAACTTCACTGCTGCTAGCATGCTGTTCAAAAAAAGTGTTTTTAACATTTATTCCTCATTGATCTAAGAATATCCTTTATTAATGGATCTAAGAATTGATTCCTCATTGATCTAAGAATATCCTAAATTAATGAAATTACATTTCAGGGAAAGTACATGGCCCAATCATTATTTTTTTTGAGAACTTCAGCTGGAAGATGAGCAGAACAGTCAAGGAAAACAAAAGTTTGCCATCATCATCTAGTCCAGCTTCCCTGAAGTGAGCACAAGCCCCCAGTACAAAATGTTTACGAAACTAATCAGAAAAGATGATATGGTGATCCATGGCTTTTTGTTAGCATAATAATGAAATGGTAAGAAATGCATTTTTTTGAAACAGTGAGGATGCATTTGCTTAGCACAGCAAAATTTCATTTATGTGTGCCTGCGACATTAGCACAGCCCAGCACGGTTATTCTGTCCTTGGCACCCATAATTCCCATAGGAGCTATCTCCTCAGCTCTAGGCAGTGTCTTTCAGGGGCTGTAACCACAAACAGTAATGTTTTTCATTCACATTATAGACATGTTCTGGCATCAAATTTTCATCAGCAGTGACCCTGGCGAACTTGTCAATGAATTTCTCCACTGTTTTGTGGTCAGCAGAGCTTTATTACCACGAATCTTTAAAAATTGAATGTTGTGTCTTTTCTTAAATTTCTTCAATCACCCTGTTGAAAATATGCAGCTCCCTTCCATTTTCAGTTTATGATAGATCTTTGCTTGTTATGTGATCAGCATACCATTAAGTGGCATGTGTTCACTGCATCAATGATGGATCCACTCTACACACAATTGAGATCTTCACTTTTAGCTTCATGCAACGTTCTCCTATTTTTCAGTAACTTCTGTTCATTGCTTTCCGCACAGAACTTCAACATTTTATCCTTCTGTTTCTTCAGGTCATCTATGGTGATCATTCTAACACCATACCCTTATGTAAGAAAGTTCACACTTATACCACTGCCCAGTTTCTCCAACAGCTTCACTCTGTGCTATAGATAAACAGATATGACTTCTCGTTTTTATCACTGTTACCCAAGGAGGTATCTGCATGCCTTTTGGACATTTTCAACAATATCTTTATACCACAGAGCACAGAATAAGCAAATACACACAATGAGTAATGTATATACGTCTTGGACCATGTGGGCCTTGTCGGGAACCTCCCATTAGTGTGTCCAGCCTTCACACATGCCATTTTATTGCCCTTTGTGGGCATGCTTGCATGGAGGAATCTGGGCATGGGTGGAAAATATATATCACAGCTGAAAGCTGGCGGGAAGGTCTTTTTCCCTTGGGAATGCTGAATAAATCGTGTGTTGTGAGCCTGCACTTTGACTGTGGCCATCACATGAGATCAAGTGTGGAATCTTCTGCTTGTGGCATCATGTCAGGACTCAAAAGTTTTCAAATTTTGGAGCATTTCTAATGGATGTTCAAATTAGGGATCTCAACCTGTACAACAGGTAAGCACAGGATACTTTTAATGGTATTTGGTGGAACCCTAACTAGGGTGAGTGATCATTCTGAGAGGGCATCCCTGAGAGGGCATCCCTAGCAGGAAGATACCAGAAGGAAAACTGAGAAACATATAGAGTGGGTGTGGGGTAGCAAAACATTCTGGGATAGAAGTTGTAGGTCCAGGCCAGGCGTGGTAGATCACACCTATAATCGCAACATTTTGGGAGTCCTAGGTGGGTGAATCACCTGAGGTCAGGAGTTTGAGACTAGCCTGGCCAATATGGTGAAACTCCATCTCTACTAAAAATATACACATTAGCCAAGCGTGGTGGTAGATGCCTGTAATCCCAATTACTCAGGAGGCTGGGGCAGGAGAATCACTTGAACCTGGGAAGTAGAGGCTGCAATAAGCCAAGATCACACCATTTTACTCCAGCCTGGGTGACAGAGCAAGACTCCATCTCCATCAATCAGTCAATAAGTTGTAGGTCCAGGGCGAAGGTGTAGAACAGAAAGGGCATGCCTTACTTTTGGAGTACAACTTCAGGAGGAATTCAGGTTGTAGCCAAGGACAGAGAGGTGGGCAGCAGAGGCCAGATCAAGACGGACTTCCATGTTATGCTGAGAAATTCAGATGTAACCCAGAAGGCAGCATGGAACCAAGAAGACAGTAACTCCCTCTGGTGGGAAGCTAAGAATGGACTGAGTTAGGGAGGACCAAACACACACAGCACCATTAATAGATGCTGCAATTTTCTAGGAGTGAACCAAGGCAGACCTCTAAACCCCAAGGCATTTCTGAGGTATGCAGCGTGGTGAAGCAAGGGTGCACCAGGTTCAAACCCATGGCTGTTGGAAGAAAACAAAGAGGACTTGTCTCCAGAAATGTCAACCACAGAAGGGACTCTGTGGTATGACTGAACACAGTGAAGTAAGAATGTGACAAGAATGTGTGGATGGGACAGATATGGGGCCTGTCCTTTTGCCTATTCCCTCTCAAACAGGTAGAAATCCACTCTGGCTCTCACTGACAACGATAATCTTTTAAGGATGTAGATGAGATGGGAACTGAAAAGAAGTAGAATGTAAACTAGAATCCAAAATCCTAACAGAAGGAGAACAATGAACCTAGACAGACGCAAGCTCAATGCAAAGGCCATCTTCTCCACGAATCCATCTCCTGAGACGCAAACTCAATGCAAAGGCCATCTTCTCCGCGAATCTATCTCCTGACCCTGCCCTCACACGGCTGATCATCTTGGATATTGTCTGCACATCTGTCCTAGTCCTCTTCATTATGCTGGTGACTTTCTCAGAGGAGGAATGAAGGGAAGGCTTAGGAGGCAAGGATACTATGGAATCCAAGACAGATTTGCACAGGTACACAAGGGGGCATAGCCACAATAGCATGGTTTATAACAGCAGAACACTGGACATTAACCAAACCATCTGCCAATAGAAGAATGAACAAAACAACTTGTGTTTTATTCATCCAATGCAATCCTCAATCAGAGCTACATCAGCTATGCCTACACCTATCCCATTCTCAGTAAGCAGAAGTAGGATATATGCAACATGATCACATATGTATACAGTTCATACAAAAGAATATCACATATTGTTGGTTAACATTTACCATTAGGAAACACGCATGTGGGGGTAGGGTGGAAAGAGGTTGGTTAGGATGAGGGAGCAGAACACAGGTCTTCAGTTATACCTCGAATAGGCTTTGCACACGTATGTTTACTGCAGCACTATTCACAATAGCAAAGACTTGGAACCAACCCAAATGCCCATCAATGATAGACTGGATAAAGAAAATGTGGCACATATACACCATGGAACACTATGCAGCCATAAAAAAGAATGTCATGTCCTTTGCAAGGACATGGATGAAGCTGGAAACCATCATTCTCAGCAAACACAGGACGAAAAAACCAAACACCACATGTTCTCACTCGTAAGTGAGAGTCAAACAATGAGAACACATGGACACAGGGAGGGGAACATCACACACCAGGGCTTGTCAGTGGGTGGGAGTCTCGGGGAGGGATAGCATTAGGAAAAATACCTAATGTAGATGATGGGTTGATAGGCGCAGCAAACCACCGTGGCACATGTATACCTGTGTAACAAACCTGCACATTCTGTACATGTAGCCCAGAACTTAAAGTGTAATAATGAAAAAAAAAAAAAATACTAGAAGTAAATATGGAAAAATATGTGATAAAGTTGCCTTTACTTTTAATTATGTTTGAAATATCTGACATGATAAAAATTACCAACTGATATTATGACCTAATTTATATTATAATCTAAAGATAAATATTGTAATCTAAATTTGTCCTTCCTTTTCATAATAAGTACAGGTAGAAGCTTGCCTGTATCTAATTTCACAGCAATGTAAAAGCAGGTAAGTACTTATCTCTTTTCCTACTTACCTGAAATATCTGCTTCAGGGAGAAAAGGGCCCTTCTCAAATCTCGTCCACTGGAGTTGTATAGTTTTTCTGAAATAAAGAATATAACATATAAATTAATTAAACTGACTCAATTGACAGTGAAAACACAGACAGGATATGAATGATAACAAAACTACCCCTGGAAAGGTAATGAAAGCCAATTCATTTCACTCAGGATACAGACCTTATCCCCAACCATAAGGAGAATGTTGCATATACATACCTGGTGTGTGACAGGTGGCACGAAAGAATGTGTGGATGGGACAGATTTTGGGCCCGCCCTTTTGTCTATTCCCTCTCAAACAGGTAGAAATCTACTCTGGCTATCACTGACAACTATCACCTAGAATTTTCACCCTCATCTTCCATCCTTCTTCTCTCCAGATCTCTATTTCCAGCTGTTTGCAGACTCTATTTTCCAGTTTATAGACTATTTCCACTTGATGGCCAACTATACCCAGAAAAATCCATGCAGCTGGAACAGAATCCATCCTTCTACCTTATGCCTCCCTTGCCTTACAGGCCCTGTACCCCGATGCTTTCTGCATCTCCTATTTCTAGGGTGTGCTGGCTGCCTTGAGCACTCCTCAGGTCCTAGAGTTCCCTAGGCAGCACGGGAGACCCAAGGACAGCATGGATTAGCTGGCTCTATGGACTAGTTGGCTCCTTCTAGGTGCATGAGGGCCTCTGGGCAGGAAGCCAGCGTTAGCTCTGCCTGGGCCTGAGTTCTCACTCATGTTCAAGGATGGTCCCGGCCATGGGCAAGGCAGATGAAAGATCCCAGTCTTAGAATTCTCCAGGTGAAGACTTGGGCTGACTTCCATAAGCCCACTGTTGAGCAGTCACGTTTCAAATATACGAGTTAGAGCAGGCCTCATGAAGAAGGAGGTGAGCTAAACACAGGGCCCATCCTCCAGAGGTCACCACACAGCTGGAGAGACAGACTAGGATGCCACAATTACTAGCTGGTCAGAATGATGGCGCTGCAAGGTGCTGAAGACACACAGGAGGGAGTCCTGCTCTGGTATATAGGACACCAGGGAGCACAGATCCTGCTCAGCCTCCCAGCACCCACACTTGATCCTGATCCAGGTGGCTCAGGTGTGCATAGGGTTGCATTCCTAGCCCCCAATGCCAGACTTTTCCAATAGAATCACACAATGCAGATTTACTGAGCACCTGCTGGGCACAGTTCTAGGCACTAGGATACCACAGAGAAGAATGGAATTATCAGGAGCAAAGGTTAAGTAATCAGACTGCCTGCATTCCAAACCTGGTATCACCACTTACTAGCTATGTGACCTTGAACAAAACACTTTACGTCTCTAAGCCTTGGATTCTCCATCTGTAAAATGGGAACAGAGAATGTTAAAGGAAAATGGGTTCTGTGTTAAATTAACCATGTATGTTATGGAGTGGAATGCAAAACACCATTTAAAATGCTTAGATAGAATAAAAGCATTCAAAGCAACGTCACACTGTTGGCCAGCCACCTTGGACTTCAATTCTAGCCTAAAGGGATACAGGACAGAGCCACATTCCCCCTCTTGTGCAAGTGGCATGGAATAAATGGCCCCACAAGAATTTGCAGACATCTAGTGACAGAAAGGATATGCTGATTTTTCAGTGGCCCAGGAAGTGGATAGGCCCCCATCTGAGAGAGATTTGAAAGGACACAGTTAGGTAAAGCTCAGTGTTTGCTTGGCAGTCATTTCTTCAAAGGCCTCCCTACCAGACATATTGCCTCTGGCAAAGAACACAAGAGTCCTGTGGACACTCCCACTTGATGACATCACTTCCCCGTTTAAACTCTTCAGTGGCTGCCCACTGCAGCCAGAAAGAAATCCAAAATCCTTTGCATGGTCTGCCAAGCCCTCGGTCACACAGCCCCCTCCTTTGCTGTATTACAGACACTGTGGTTTTCTCTTACATCCTGGGGCAGTCCAGGCTCCTCCAAACTCACAACTTAATACATATTGCTGCTAAGTGGCAGGGGCAAGATGCTGTGGGGTGGGAGTCTGGGGGGTGGTATGTGACTCCAAAGATTCCCTGTTGTTTGACCACTATGGAATCTACCACCTCTAAACACAATATGCAGCCCACAAACACTTGATCATTATGAGTTCTGATTAAGAGAAAAACGCATCACCTTCCTAAAAAGTAGGAGCCTAGAAAGCTCCAGAGGAATCAACCATCCCCAATCTGAACATCTAATTCATCTCTCATTCTAAGAAACAAGGCCCTGGTGACTCTCAGACTGACCTCTAAAGAGTTTGTGTGGCCTCAACATATGAGTAATAAATAGAGTAAGTTTCCCACTGCATCATGCCTGGAGTAGAACACTGGTCTCTGGGGAGATCTCACTTCTTCCAGCTTTCACAGCTAACATCTGAGAATCCCCAAATCCCAGAGAAACAGACTTTGTTTTCTGCCAATACTACTTCTAATAAATAAGAATAAAACTATCAAGTGAAAGCATGGGCCATGTGTACCCCCAAAGAAGTGGACCAGATTGATCCTATCCAGGAAGAACATCAGTAGAAAAGAGTCAATTCCAGGTAACTCTTAAGGCAATAGGCTGCCAGGCACTGTGGCTTAGGCCTGTGATCCCAGCACTTTGGGAGGCCGAGGCACGCGGATCACTTGAGGTCGGGAGTTCAAGACTAGTCTGGCCAACATGGTGAAACCCTGTCTCTATTAAAAATACAAAAATTAGCCAGGCCTGGTGGCACAGGCCTGTAATCCCAGCTCCTTGGGAAGCTGAGATGGGAGAATCTCGTGAATGTGGGAGGTGGGGATTGCAGTGAGCTGAGATCACATCACTGCGCTCCAGCCTAGGTGACAGGGCAAGAACCTGTCTCAAAACAAAAACAAAACAAAAAAAAACAGCAACAGGCTTGCATTAGACCTTCTTACTTGTCAGCAGATGACAAGCAGAAATATGTCATAAGTAGACTCAAAATATCACAGTTAAAGTCTCCTTTAGTTACTAGTGACATATTATCATTTCTGATTCATCTAAATGAAGATCATCATTAGTTGTGTTCTGATCGTTAAGGTTTTACTACTTGGTGCTGTAGTCAAAATAATCAGTTTTTAAAATACAAATTAAATATTAGTAGAAAAAAATCAGCTGAGAATGACTGCTAATATTTTGTTGAAGATTTCTGCATTTACAGTCATAAGAAACACTGGTTTATAGTTTCTTTTCTTACAATGGTGTTGATATTGAGACAGTGCTAATCTCGTGAGTTGAGAGTACTCCTTCTTCTGCTTTCAGAAAGGATTTGTTTAGATTTTGTGTTATTTATTCAATTTCTTCATTAATATAGGGCTATTCTGATTATCTCTTTCTTCTTCAATAAAGTTTGTTAATTTGTGTCTTTCAAGGAATTTGTCCATTTAAGTTGTTAAATGTATGGGCATAAAGATGTTCATATACTCTATCATCCTTTTATTAACTGTAGCAATGTCCTTTTATACCTGGAATTGGCAATTTGTGTCTTCTATTTTACTCGATCAGTCTGACTAGAAATCTATCAATTTTATTTTAGCCTTTTTCGAGTATCAGCTATTGATTTCATTAGAGGTTTTTTCCCACTGTTCTTCTGATTTCTATTTCATTATTTTCTTTCTTCTGTTTGCTTTGAGTTTAGTTTGTTCTTCTAGCTTCTTCAAGTAGAAATTTAAATGATTTGAGACCCGTCTTGTTTCTAATAGAAGTATTTAATGCTATAAGTTCATCTCTAAGTACTGCTTCAGCTGCTTCCTGTAAATTTTGATATATTGTGTTTTCATTTTCATTTATTTGAAAATTTTATTAATATTGAATTCAGGGGGAATAACTTAACCTTGTGATTATTTTTTTGACCCATGATTTATTAAAGTGTATAGTTTCCAAATATTTAGAGATGTTCCAGATATCTTTCTGTTACTAATTTCTAATTTAATTTCTTTGTGGTCAGAACATATACTTTATCAAATCTTTTAGATTTATTAAGGCTTATTTTATGGCCCAGAATATGGCTTATCCTGGTGAATGTCTCATGTACACTTTAAAAGAACATGTATTCTGCTGTTATTGAGTGGCTGTTCTATAAATATCAAATACCCACTAGATCAAATTTAATAATAGTGGTGTCCAGGTCTTCTATATTCTTACAGACTTTCCATTTACTTGTTCCATAGATAGTGTGAAAGGAGAGTTGAAGTCTCCAATTATTATAGTGGATTTGTATATTTCCTATTTCATCTGTATGAGTTCCTGCTTTAGGTGCTTTGAAGTTCTCTTGTTAGGTATGCTTACATTTGGGATTGTTGTGGCTTCTTGGTGTATTGACCTTTTATTGCTATGTAATCTCTCTCTTCATCCCTGTCAATATTCCTTGTTTTAAAGTCTACTTTTCTGATATGAATATGGCCATCTTGGGTTAGTGAATGGTGTATCTTTTTCCATCCTTTTATTTTTAACCTATCCATGTAGAATTTCTTATAGATATACTTGTATCTGGCTTATATGCAATCTGACCATTGTCTTCTAATTGCTATGCATTCACTGCATTTTTAAACTCTATGACATCACAACTTACTCTTCAGTGGCACTAGAACTAAAGACCTCAGGGAGGTTCTGACGTCATCTCGAACTCTTTGATAAAAAGCATTCTTCTACAAATGCCAAAGATATCTCCCAGTGGTGCCAAAAACCCCTCCTCTTTTTTGCCAAGTGTCATTTAATTAAAATAAACTACAATTTCTAATTGAGGAGTAAGTACTCTTCATTCCAAATATCTTTAATTTTCAAAACAAAACCTTTATAGTCATTTGTTTAAATTGTCTATTTCAAAGAAAACTAAGAAAATATGTAGTACTGTTCCCAAATAATGATTTTGTTGTTTTAAGCAAGAGAATTCTCACTACAGACTTTAGAGATTCACAAATGTTAATATAGTTTTGTTTTTCAATATTGAAGCTCAAAAGAACAGCTAATCTATACGAAAATATTATCTATTTTGGCTGAAACGTCCCTTAAAATGCTTTTCTTTTTAATT